TTTAGCATCAAAGAAAATTCATTCTCTTTCTACAAGTATAGTCATAACATTATCTTATTAATGATGTTGGATTCCACCATACTCGCTCTATCATGTTCGACCCTCGGATGCCAAATGCCAATTTCTGCCCTCTCAATTCCATTTGTTTGCTACAATCTTCACACTTTTCGGATTTGGTCCCAACCTCTTAGCTCATATAAACAAATTAGTTCATGTTTTCACTTTAATTTTGTTTTTGTTTAGTTGACATAAACCATCCACAACATGAGAAGTGTAAACTTCCATTGTTAGTTGGAAAATAAATAACACATTTGAATTCAGACGTCCTAATGTCCCCCTTAAAACATTTTTATCACAAATTATTATATGTCTGACGCTAACCCAACAAAGGAGAGCGGATTCCATGACTAAGGGGTGCTTAGTCACTTAACTAATCCCCTCCTAGCTATTAGATCTGGACATTTCAATCCAATGGTTAAAAAGTGGGAAGGGCTATTTAATTAATGACAGGGGTAGTTTGGGTATTATAGAAAATTACGAAGTATACAAACCGGATTTACAATCAGTACAAACCATACAAACATACGAACAGTACAAACTAGAGCGACAAAACATACAAACAGATTTACAAACATTACAAGCGTATGAACTGTACAAACAATACAAACTAGACTGACAAACAATACAAACCATACAAAAAGAAAAACAACCGGGTTGACTTTGGAGGCTCCAACTCTATATAGAAGGGCTCCTTCCCAAAGTCAACACAGGTATTTTTTAGACATACAAACAGTACAAACATGGTGGACAAAAATGACAAACTAGACCGACAATCCATACGAATGGGAAAAAACACCCGGGGTGACTTTGGAGGCTCCATCCCTATATAGAGGGGCTCATTACCAAAGTCAACCCGGGTGTTTTTTAGACATACAAACAGTACGAACATGGTGGACAAAAATGACAAACTAGACCGACAATCCATACGAACGGGAAAAAACACCTGGGTTGACTTTGGAGGCTCCATCCCTATATAGAGAAATTCCATCCAAAAGTCAACCAGGTTGTTTTTTAGACATAAAAAACATTACAAACATGGTTGACAAAAATGATAAACATGGTGCACAAAAATAACAAAGTTTACGAACATTACAAAATAACAAAGTGTACAAACATTACAAAATATGTCACAAACATCACAAAATTGGCACTCTCGCCGGAAAATTCTTCTCCGTCCACGATGGTCGTCGGAAAAAAATTTTCCGACCAGAAAATTTTCCGACCAGAAACTCTCTCTCTCTCGGATAATTCCATGGGCAATTCCCTGGGGGAAAGTTGCGACCATCCTTGGGGAAAATGGTCACGCCGGCGAATTCGGCGAGTTCTTTCCACGCTACCGGAGAGAATGATCGGCTGGCGGGAAGGGTCGCAATTCTGTGGAAAAAATACGCAGCCAGCCGAAGGAGGGAACGGATGGTTGGATTTTTATTTATTTTAATTGGTAAATAAAAATTAAATAATTAAATTACTACATTGCCCCAAATTAAATTGGATTTATCAGGACTATTGAATTTTAATGAAGTGGAAGAGCTGAGATTCACTTAGTCACATGACTAAGGGACAAGTCTACCCTTAGTTTAGTCACCTGATCTTAGTCCCAAGGAAGGCCAAAAAAAGGGTTAAGATCAGGTGACTAAGGGGGGTACCCTTAGTCACTTGGCTAAGTTAATCTCAGCCTTCCATGCTCATTAAAATCCTAAGGCTATAATTAATTTATTTTAAGGAAGGACAACATGGTAATTATACATTTTAATTTTGTAAATAAAAAAAAAAAAAAAGAGTCCTTCCCTCACCTGTTTGTCGCACGCGGAGATGAATTCACAGAGACGGCGGCGGCCATGGACGACGGCGGCGAAGGACGACGGTGGCCAGGGACGACGACGGCGAAGGAAGACGGCGGGTCGATGGCGTTCTGTGTTCGGGGGAGAGAGAGGGAGGCGGAGGTAGAGGAGAAGAGAGAGAGGCGAATCGACCGTAGAGGAGAGAGAGCGGCGGCGGTAGAGGAGAAGAGAGAGAGACGGCGGTGGCGGCGAGGAACAACGACGACGGCGGCGAGGAACAACGACGAGAGGGACGACGACCGTGGAGGAGAGAGAGGCAGCGGCGGTTGAGGAGGAGAGAGACACCGACATCGCCAATTTGTTGGCGGCGGCGACGATTTCGTAATTTCATCATTCCAGTTTGTATACTTTATGTTATGATTTGTACTGTTTGTATGTTTTGTATTGTTTTATACGTTTAGTATGCTTTGTACTGTTTGTCGGGTTTTTTGTAATGTTTGTACGCTTTGTTATTTTGTAATGTTTGTTGGTTTCTTTTGTATTGTTTGTAATCTTTGTATGACTATTTTGTATATATTGTAATTTGTAATTTTTGTTGCTCTAGTTTGTATACTTTTATGTTAAGATTTGTATACTTTGTATTCATTTGTTTGTAATACAAGTTTATCAATTTGTATTGTAAGTAGTGATATTTTGTACGTTTAGTATGTTTTGTACTGTTTGTCGAGTTATTTTGTAATGTTTGTACGTTTTGTAATGTTTGTAATGTTTGTTGGTTTCTTTTGTATTGTTTGTAATCTTTGTATGACTATTTTGTATATATTGTAATTTGTAATTTTTGTTGCTCTAGTTTGTATACTTTTATGTTAAGATTTGTATACTTTGTATTCATTTGTTTGTAATACAAGTTTATCAATCTGTATTGTTAGTAGTGATATTTTGTACGTTTAGTATGCTTTGTACTGTTTCTTTTGTAATGTTTGTAATGTTTGTTGGTTTCTTTTGTATTGTTTGTAATGTTTGTTATTTTTGTCCACATGTTTGTCATTTTTGTCAACCATGTTTGTAATGTTTTTTGCATCACAAATCAATACATATAAAGTATACAAATTATTAGTACTTACAATACAAAGCGAAACATACTAAGAATACAAGCAAAACATACTAAGAATACAAACTATCAAAGAAAAACATACTAAGAATACAAACTGTCAAAGAAAAACATACTAAGAATACAAACTGTCAAAGAAAAACATACTAAGAGTACAAACTGTCAAAGAAAAACATACTAAGAGTACAAACTAATGTTACAAACTATACAAACCATACTGACATTTTGTACAAAAATACTAACAATACAAACTAATGTTATAAAACATACAAACTATACAAATCATACAAACTAATGTTACAAAACATACAAACTATACAAACTATACAAACTATCGTCTCTCTCTCTCTCTCCTCTGTTTTCCCGACAACGGACAGATCTACTTTCTCTCTCTACCACTACCTCCGTCGTAGTCGTCTTGCCCTCTCTCCATCGTCGCCGGAGTCGTCGTTGAGATCTCCTCGCCGTCGCCCCCCTCTCTTCCACCGTCGTTGTCCTTCTCTCCCCGCTGCTGCTTCTCTCTCTCTCTCTCTCTCTCTCTCCTACGGCCTGCAATGGCAACGCAGAAGAGGATGGATGAAGGAAAAATCGCGATCTCCTCCACCGTCGTCGGCGCCGTCGCGATTTCCTCCAGCGTAGCGCCGTCGTCTTTCTCTTTCTCTCTCTCCTCCTCCGCCATGGCTTCTCTCTCTCTGGACATTGCAGAAACGGGAAAGGGAAGAGACGTGCAGATGGAAAAAAGGAATTCAATAATAATAAATAAAACAAAATCAAAAAATAGAAGTTAATAATTTAATAATAATGCCAAAACTGCCCTTCTCATTTAATAATAACTAATAGATTTATCTGGACCATCAGATCAATTCAAAGGCTGAGGGGGGCTTAGTCAAGTGACTAAGGACCCCCTTAGTCACCAGATCCGGACCCCCAAAAAAATGGTAGTAAAATATCCCTCGGGCGAGAGGTGGCTACACAAAGTGACGCAGAAGAGGACTAATCAGTAATCACAAAAGAGACTGTTCCAGCAAAAATGGAGAGAGCGTCGGTAGACTTGGCCCAATGGGCATCCAATGACCGATAGTTTTTATTTTTTTATTAATTCACAGATTTACGAAATGGTGTATTTATCCGCCACGTAAGCAAAAGTCTAGAGAAAGAGAATCACACCCGCCTCTTCCTGTACACCGGCATGCACCCGATCCTGCCTTCCTTGCTCTCATCTCGCGATCCCCAAGTATGACTATTTGAGCCAAAAATAACTCATCAGTTTGTCTCTAAAGCTCCAAATGTCGACTAATAAAATAATTTCGTCTAATAGCGTTCTCGACGTTTTTTCTTCTTCTATTCATCGAAATTGGTGAACACTACCAACATGGCTGATCAAAGCCTGCTCCCTCCCTGCTTACTACTGCACCTGCAAAATGATCCACCGAAATCCAATAAAAGTTTGCATAAATTATTGGTATCAAACTATCAATCCTGCCGCGTTTAAAATGAGTGATTTGATCTGTAGTGCCTTGCATTGATTATGAATCATTACGATACTACCTTTGGCATTGTCTTGTCTCACATCTCTCCCTAATTTATTTCCATTGCTTCGTCCATAACAAGAACAGGGTTTTCAATTCTAAACAGAAAACAAGAAAGGGTTTTGGCCATTTCGTTGATATCGCCGACCAGAACATAGAAGAAGAAACCGTGGGAAGAGAACTAATTGCATGCCTCGAAGTAATCAGCCGGCCGCACAGCCAAGAATTCAGCCGGCCTGCACAGCCAAGAATGCTGTACGTAACTTCGGGAAAGCGACTCCATTTGATCACCGGCTCCGGCAACAAAACAACGAGATGATCCTATCTGGTGCTTAAAACTTAAAAGTCAACTATTAATATTGGGATAGTGGAGATTGAAACCCACGATTACTTGGTCAGATGAACTCGAATACTATTAGGATAGTGGAGATTGAAACACACGATTACTTGGTCAGATGAACTCGAATACTACGTCATAAATCGTTTGATCCCAATAATTCGAATATCGAGGCAATTTGGCATGATTGCCTCAAATTTCTCACTCCCAATTGCTGCTGCATTCACATTTGTGTTGCCAGACGAAACAATTCAGTCCAATTGTTTCATTTTAAAATGAGTGAACCAAATTAACTCTCACTTATGGTTATTTGTCAGTCTCCAAGTATTACCGGTAATTAGTATTAGTGTGTCCCATGCAACCAAAAAATCTGGACACGTCATAACTCAAACACGCCAAATATTATAAATCACTATAATCAAAATTAGATTAAAGGTAAAATTTAAGGCATCGTATATCACTAATAAGGTACGCAAATTGCCCTTGGAACCGCCGTTGAAAGGAACTCGCCATCAAGCTTCGTCACGAGCCAAATGTCACATAGCCCAATTGGTAAAACTCTCAAGAGACCCTCGACCGGTAAGTGTGTGGTCCCGTCCCGTATTCCACCCACCTCGAGACCAGTTCTTATGTTCGTGGCATGGTCATGAAACCGTACCGGAGACCGTACCGGGAAAGTCAGCGATAGGGTATTTTATGGAAAACTGTGCTTTAATCGTAGTTCAACCGTTGTACCGTTAAATACCGCCTACCGGTTTAGCCTCCGATACTGGTATTTTGTGGTTGAACCACCGGTACGGTACGGTTTCATGGACCATGGTTCGTGGGCCCAAATGCTCATGCAGATGAGGTTTTAGAACATCCTATAGGAATAGGACCCTGCCCGTTGGGCAGTAACTTTTATTTTTGAATATTGAAATTTGTATTATAAATGACAGTCTAACATTAATTCTTAGATGAATTAAAAAATTGGAAGGTGGTTACGGATGGATTCAAATACAATAATATTCATTTTGCGGTGATTGAATTGTACACATACCAGCACATCGATTTTGGTTTTAGTCGACTGTTATGCTCAAAGGGTGTTTTGCCCTATTTTATTTTAAAATATTGAAATTGGTTATTATAAATGATAGAGTCTAGCATTAATTCTTAGATGAATTCAGAAATTGGATGGTGGTCTCACTGATGGATTTGAATGAAATAATATTCATTTTGACGGTGATTGCCCTATTTGATTTCATCTAATTCATGTTTTGACCGGGATTTTGTGTGGGTTATGGTGGTTTTAAAAGGATTTTTGTGAATGGCAAATTGGCAATGCTTTGTGTTTTTTTTTGGGCAAACGATAATCATATATCGATCAAGACAAAAGAAGTTACATCCTGGAATTCAGCCAGGCCTAATAATCAAAGACACGATTCCTCGTCCGATACAAAGACAGGGCCTTGCGAGCCACCATATGGGCTACCTATTGTACTCACGACCTACAAATCGAACACTAAAACCAGGATGAGAACTAAAATAATGAACTACTTCCTGAAGCACTGCCCCCATCCGACTATCCTCGGCGTCCGCCTGATTAACTTTATCAATAATGACCTTGCATCGCCTTCAAAGGTGATCTCCGTGAATCCCAGATTCAGACACCAGAGAACCGCCTCACGGAGGACCATCATTCCACCACCATAGGATCATCAATAGACTGGAAATGGACCCTTTAGCCAAGAGGGACCTCCCTACCAGGGGTTAAAATAACCAGACCACCTGCCGAATGAGACCTTCTCCTACCCGTTGCTCCCCCAGAATCAGCCAGACCCATTGTCCTCACCATTCCCTGCGGAAAAGGATCGGGAGGCAAACAGACCCACTCCTCATACTGCTGGCTAAACTGCCTCATCAAAGCAGGGAAACTGAACTGATTACCCAAAAAACACCCAGTTTCGAGACCGCCAAATCCTCCAAAGGATGGCCACAACCGCCATGAACAATCTAGGTTGATCAAGCAGAGCCAGCATCTTAAAGAAAAGCGGAAATGATCCCGGGGCAACTCCCTCCCCAATATATTCCAGGCCCGAATAATCCCAAAGAGCACGAGCCACCGGGCAATAAAGGAACAGATGTTCCAAGGATTCTGAATCACCCCAACAAACCGGACACCGAGGGTGAACCTGAACTTTCCTCTCAATTAGTGCTTCAGCAGTGGGAAGGGCACGATTCAGGATCTGCCAAACAAACACTTAAGCTTAGGAGGGATATTCGCGTCCCAAAAAATAATTATGCAAAAAATAAGTGAATGAAATAGAGAAAAAAAAAATTATAGGAAGGAAAATAAAAGGGAGCAAACTCAGCAAAGCAACTGCCGTGTATTCCCGAAAAGTGAAATGAAAAAAAAAAACTAACACATAAAAGAAGAGACACAACGTTTCATTTAAACTAGGAGAAGGGTGGTTTTTTCCCAAAGGGCCGAGGAAAGCATGAGAGAGATCAGAGAAGTTTGGGTGCTGTGTGGATAGGTTAATTGAAGTTCAACGCTGATGTAGCAGTGGTGCAAATCTATAGATATAGATATTATAAGTTGTAACCCCGGTAAAGGAAACGTATTTAAAATCTGAAAAAATCATTGGACGGCCACAAATTTCAGGGGAAAGTTAACAAGAATCAACCCTGGAGATTGAAGGAAATGTACTAGCAAAAAATGAAGATGAGACTGGCCAACTGTATGTTCCAGCCTACTAATAAAAAGGACCATCCAGCAGTTTCTGAGTTCACTGTTCGGCGAAAGGAAAACAGCACATACCAATTCCTATGGGAGCTAAACTTAGTTATCAGGACATTTTCCTCACAGTTCCCTCGAACATACCATCGACGAAAGAGTTTCTGAGCTGGTCAGGGAAAACTGGAGCAGGAAGCCAGAACATGGTGTTAAGGGTCCAGGCGGGCCAGAGGTTTCGAGTCTCCATGAAAAAGATTTTAGGAGGGTCTTTCAACAACCTGTTCCCAAGCAGTGCTCACCCCTTGTATATCCACCATCCCAGTTGGATCTACAACACAACTGAAGCTCCCTGTTCATGGAGATTCAACTCATCAGGAAGCAATACGAGACACGAACAACAGGCGTACAAAAACTTCAGATCATGCTGCGAAGTCTAGCAATGAGATATATGTAACAGCCAAAACAGAAGAGCATGACGCTTACTATCATTTGCAGATACTCCAGGCAGAGAGACACGGAAAATGTAGAACGCTTCACTCTCCCCAATGTTCATTGGTCCAATACCTGAACCAATCCTCAGCACAGCTGCAGCACCAAAAAGGGTAATAGCTCCTTGTTTCTGTTCAAGATGTTGGCAAGCTCGGCCTTAGTTGTTCCATTAGGAAACAAAACCATGGACGGGTCTTCTGCATTTGCTGGTTCAACTGGGGGATCACCAGCACCAGCATCGCCATTGTTAGCAGCACCAGCATCATCATTTGATAAAAACGGGTCAAATAATTCAGGGGTACAGCATTCAGAGGAGGCACATCGTAAACATGCTCAGGGTCAATTGGCTCGGGCTGATTGTGTGCGTGCTTGCCAGAAGACCTGGATTACATCAACTTATCATATGTAATGCCTTGAAAAGTACAGGATTGGTCAAGTATGCATAAACAGCATAATTCAACATGAAAAATAAGATCTACATGAAAAAACGGACAAGTCTGAATCTGCATATTCTTGGACGACATCGCATAAGAACAAAGGAAGGAACTACATGACGAATTCGCAGAGGTCATCGATCAGGCAACTCAGAAGAATCAACTGAGGAGTGAGTGACTAACCTCCTAGCCTGCCCATTTCTCCCCAGGAAGAAAAAAAAACCATTTTGAAGCTTGAAGCATAAATTCAATACTGACCAACAAAAGATAAAACAAACTCAATAATAATTCTCAAGATTATAATGAACTGTGATCATATACAGATGTGCACCAAACAAACATCTGAGTTGCAGTTCTGTTTCGTGAATAAGGTAGTTAACTTCAGATTGAACCAGTAATCATGGCCTTCTCATGTAAGACCACAGTAGTTCTCGCTGAAATCACAGATGGCATAAATACTGCATAAACAGCACACATGCACACAGCTAAAGATGAGGAGCCTAAGCATAATTCCTAGAGTAGTGAAAGCAGTATTAGCTAGATAAGGAAAATGATGATTTTCTTTTTCTTCCATTATGTTAAGATAAATGACAAAGGGACTGTCAGCACTAAGCAGAATCAACAAAACTTATTAGAAGGATGATTGAAAAGAAGCCTTAGTCTAATATTAGGTCGCATTTCCATGGTACTAGACACTTTTAGCACGATTATATAGCTCTGTTAAAGTACTTCAGCCTACGAGTTTCTCTAAACATAAATCATCCAGATCGACGTTGATGCAGGTTATTTGAAGAATCAAGCTACCGCCTTGACTCATACATCAAATCTATCTAGACCGACCGGCCTACATTCAAACAGCGGTTCTCCTACCGATGAATGGAAGAGCACCAGTTGATGAAACAATGTGATGATAATCAGGTTCGAAAGAACAGGAGTCATGCTCACTGTTACCCTAATTCGGGACACAATCAACAACTCTGATCTTAAACAACAAAAGAACAGAGAGAGATAGCAACGGGAGACCAATTTCTTTTACCTCAACAACATAACGGACCGTCAAAGACAACCGCAATTTGTTTGAAGCAAATTGCACACAATTACACACGGAAAGGGCCAGCGAGCTTCAACCACGTTCGCCCAACTACGCTCTCTACTTCATTTTCCGGCTCGACAAGAACCAAGCTAACACGGACATACAGTTTCCGAGAGAATCAAAGTTGAGCCACCGAATTCAAGTCCATCACAATAAATAAAAAATGACCCTAGCAAAATCACAGAGGAAACAAGAAAGTTCATTCCTCTGCAAATTTGCTTGGGTCGGTTTAGGTTTGCAAGATAGAACCTGAACATAATTTCAAAAGCTCACACGAATTGAATCCCAAAGGATCAATCTTCTGAAGATAACAAGAAGTACCTTCCCGGAGTAGCCTTCGGAGTATCTCCAAAAGACCTCAACCCAATACTACATTGCAGTTCGGAGGCGGAGGAACTTCATCTCCGAGTTAATCTCGCTGCTCCCAGTTCCTCCTGCTCTTGCCGAAGAAGCAAACGAGCAACTCTTTTCTTTCCCCTTTCCCTCTTCCTCTTCATTAAGAAGCTCGTCTATATATAGATGGGCGTGGGCCTGAACCGTCCAGCATGTGCCCCATATTGTTTGGGCCGGGCTATGGTCGTGATAAAACTGGAAATGGGCAAACCGGCCCACATAGTTGATTTCAGGAGGAGACTCTTGTTTCGGAGTTTATAGGATCAGGGCAGGCAAGACATTTTCATTTCAAGCATATATAACCAATTAACCATAGAGAGAACTGAAACACAAAATTCATAAAAACGCTGGAAATTTTTATACCCCCCTCAGATTATACAAAACACTAAACAAGATAGAGAAACGACTTTAGATAATCATAGACCTACCGCTAATACCATTTGAAGATAATCTCGAAGAACAGTGCCTTTTCATTACAATTTCAATTCACAAGTAAGCTGACAACTTCACAATGTTCGAGACTAATAACTAGTTTACACTCTACGATGTTCGCAACACTTAAATTATAATCCAAAGCGGGACGAACAGCAACACCGACATTCAGCTCGAATCAAATTAAGCACATAATTTGATTCATCAGTTTGATCTTTAAAACCATGGATGGAGCTCGAACCTAAAGGAGCAGAGAGTGAAGTTAATCTGACCGCCGATCCGGTCCGGGCAAAGATTGATCACCTTGTCAGTCGCACCCGTCAAGCACTGTCTGCACCTCGGCAGGGAGTTCGACTCACAAATCGCCCCGCCGCTGACGGAAGTGGTGGAATTCACGGTGCACTCTGCCGTCTTCCGCTCTTTGGACCTGCTGACACGGTCGTTGTTTTTCTCACCGTTCAAGTCGCCGGCAACCTGCTTGACGCACTGGGTGACGGCGGCGTCGACTATCGTGTTGCACAGATGTTCCTCAGCGTTACAGCTGCCACACATAATCATAACAGCAACTAACCCAACTATGACCAGAAGCAGAACTGCTGCCATGATTTCCCTTTGACGTACTGGAAGATATGAGATCAAATGATGGGCTCTGGCTATTTATGGACACTGTTTTTTGTGTCTGCTTCTTTGATGGCGTATGGGACAAGGGTATGGATCGAGGTTGGAAAGTTGCGTGCAGGCAGAGAAGAGACGGTCTTGTATGGGGATCTAATCTTCGATTACTCCGTCTCCAGGTATAAACTGGGAAAAGTTAACAAGAATCAACCCTGGAGATTGAAGGAATTGTTGTAGCAAAGGTGAAGATGAACCTAGCAAACTCTATGTTACAGCCTACTAGAGAACCAGTCAGCTAGTTCTGAGTCCACTGTTCCACCAAAAGAAGAAGAAAAAGCTCATCCGATTCCTACGGGGAGCCAAATTTTGTTTTCAGGAGTTTCTCCTCACAATCCCCTCAAACATACCATCGACAAAAGAGCTTCTGAGTTGGTAGGGAAGAACTGGACCGGGAAGCCTGAACTTGATGCTGAAGGGTCCTGGTGGGCAGAGGTTTCGGGTCTCCATGAAGAAGACTTGAGGCGGTTTCTCAACAACCTGCTCCCCAGTGGTGCTCACCCCTTGCATCTCCACCATCCCGGTTGGATCTACAACACAACTGAAGCTATCTGTTCACGGAGATTCAACTCATCAGGAAGCAATACGAGACAAGTACTACAGGCGTTCAAATTTCCAACCATCACACTGCAAAGTCTAGCAATGAGACAAGGTACAAACGAAACAGAAGAGCGTGGCACTTACCATCACTACCGGACACTCCAGGCAGAGAGACACGGAATATGTAGAACCCGTCACTCTCCCCAATGTTCATTTGTCCAATACCTGAACCGATCCTCTGCATAGATGCAGCCCCGGAGAGGGCAATAGCGCCTCTGTTTCTGTTCAAGATGTTTGCAAATTCCGCCTCAGTTGTTCCATTGGGAAAGAAGACCATGGATGGGTCTTCTGTGTTTGCAGGTTCGACCGGGGGTCATCAACACCAGCATCAACGTTGTTATCAGAACAAGCAGCATTAGCATCATCATTTGCTACAAACGGGTTAAAATAATTCAGGGGTATAGCATTCAGAGGAGGCACATTGTAGACATGCCCAGGATCAATTGGCTCGGGCTGATTGTGCGTACGCTTGCCAGAAAACCTGAAATACATCAGCTTATCAGATGTAATGTCTTGAAATCAAGAAAGTACAGGATTGATCAAGTATGCATAAACAGCATGCCAACATGAGAAACGAAGAGCTACAGGAGAAAACGGAAGAAGTCCAAATCTGCATATTCTTGGACGACTTCACATAAGAACATAGGGAGGAACTAAATGACAAATTTGCATATGTCATCGATCAGGCAATTCAGCAGAATCAACTGGGCAGTGACTGCCATTTTTACTGAGAAAAAGTTTGGAGTTACATTCTCAAAACAGCAACAAACCTCCTAACCCGCCCCCTTCGAACTATTTGCACAGGAAAGACATAACAAATGCGGAAGCCTCATAATCATTAGCTGAACCAAATGCTCATACAGATATTAACAAAAGGAAAAATATGAAAATCACAGACATTAGAAGACAAATGAGATGCAAGCTCGTGCTAGACCTTTAAACAGAAATTGTTAACCACAACTCGTAATTTTTCATAATCTCATAGGAGAGAAGTGCCCAGCAGATAGGTGGGCATATTAAGAACATATAGGCTTCCTGATCAAAGAAACAAAGAATATAGCAATTGAAACCTACACCAATATTTGAATTGAACAGGGCAATATAGAATTAAAGATGCCTGTGCGAAAGATCAGCTACAGTAGTGTGTCACTGAACCTCAAAACCCGAAATTCACATTTTGCACGAGATTGCT